CACTTGACCTGGCTTCAATGACTGGATGATAGGAGCTCAACCAGAAGAAGAAAGAAGAGGAAAAAAAGAGTAATCTGATGCAATTTAATGAACTTGACCTACACCTATGGAAGCAGTAGCTCAAAAGACAGAACAAATTCTTACAGCAAGAATCATTCCCACCCCCTCCACACACAGAGTAAACAGGAATGGGCAACTTGGACATTGGCTACCCAAAATGAGGCGGTGGGGTGTAAAAGGCAAGAAGTGACTGGCTTACAAGCTTTCAAGAGGGAACCTAGAGCCAGGGGGCCTGAAGGAAGGCAGAATCTCCAGTGAGTAGTATCCAATCTGCCTAGACAGAGCTGATGAAATGAAATGCAGATGGGTCTCTTGTGCTACAATAGTGAATAATTGTTATCAGGACTGATTGTAAGGGTTGGAAACGTAAAGGTAGACATTTTATAGCAAGGAAGGGACGGAATAACTTTCCAGTCTAGGAGCGGAGGTCCCTGGGACCATCAATGGAGAAGTGCCGAGAGTGGGACCCTACCCAGAGAAGCAGAGATGCCCATGATGGAGGCAGAGACAATGACGTGGAGCGATGGAATCACTGAGGACTTTAGATCCACAGAGGGAGAGCGACTGTGTGCTGAAGACTGGGATGGGGGAATAGTGTGGGGGGCAGGTTACCAAAGGTATATATACCCTTTGGTAGGTTGATGATGTGATGCATGAAGGGGATTGTAACCATGGCAAAGATACGATGTACGATGTACAATAGAATGAATGTAAAACTAATGTTCTCCCATGTAAACTATCATATAATTCACAATAAAACACTTAAAAAAAAATGGTGCTGATTAAAAAAAAAACTTTAATTTCAAAGAATTCAACATACTAATTATTAATAAAAATAAATAACTGTATATTTTCACAACCAGATTCTGTTAATAAAAATAATTACATTACCAATTCACTTATTAACCCTGAATTATTATTAAAATGGCCTACCTGGATATATGCTTTTTGGATTGCTACAAGTTCTTCACCAAGAGGAACAACAAGCTTTTCAACCCGCCTTTCATGAGAGTATGGTAAAATATCTGGAGAATCTTCAGAACGCAGCTCTATCTTTCCAATTAGGAGATTAGTAATAACTTGTTGCACAGCCTATGCAAAATAAATTAAGTATAGTTATAATTACATTAAACTTTTTTTTTTTAGTTTAAGTCACTACCAGAAATAATATAGCAGTGAAATTCTGAAAGAAAAGCATTAGAAATTCATATAATTAAATATCTTTAAAAGACAGAACTATAAAGTACATCAGATTGCTATCAAGTCAATTCCAACTCAAGATACCCTACAGACCAGAGCAAAACTGCCCCATAAAGTTTCCAAGGCTAAAATCTTTATGGAAGCAGACCACAAGACCACATCTTTCTCCCACAGTGTGGCTGGTGGGTTCAAATCACCAACTTTTCAGTTAGCAGACGCTGTACCATCAGGGCTCCTTAGAAGCGGCACAATAATGGGGAAAGGTTTTTCCTGCATCTTTTCCCCACTCAGCCCTTAGTGTATTTTTTAGATACACTAAAAAATAAGATTAGTGTATCTCTACCAAGTTCCTCAAAGGTATTTTGCAGTTTCCAACCAATGGCTGTAATTTTCATTCTTTTTGTCAACATTTTATAAAGTCTCAGGCAAAACAGAAGTTTCAAGTTTAGCAAACTTAATCCCCTAAAAGTTGTATATAGCACAGTCAATGTCAGAACCCAATTCCTTAATAAATACTTTCCCACTAATTTTTATGCGAAAACCAGAGAGAAGTATTATTAAAGTTAAAGGAAATAATTGTACCTTAGGAGTCCTTTACAAATTGGCTTGTCAGCAATTGAAGATTAAGGACCTATGTTGTTATTGCTATGTGCTGTGGAGTTGGTTCCGACTCATAGTGACCCTGTACAGGGTTTCTAAGGCTGTAAATCTTCACGGGAGCAGAAAGCCTCATCTTTCTCCTGCGGAACAGCTGATATTTTCTAACTGCTGACCCTGAGGTTAGCTGCCCGATTCGTAACCACTACGCTACCAGAGCTCCTTAAAGGACCTATACTAGTCAATTATCCATAAATTAATAGGATAGTTTCCAGTTAAATCAACATTTGAATATATTTTTGGTTTAAATGTCATTCAAGCAAATTTGTAAAGGAATTTAATCATAAAATTAGGGAAGTAGGGCAAAATCATATAACTTATTGGTAAAAACAACTTCTGTACCAGATAATTATAATATTGACAATGCAATGACTAAGAATAATAAAAGAAAAAGGAATCCCAAAAGGATCTAGAAATTAAAGACTTTCTGTTTTGTTTTTAATCAGAAAAGCCTAATGGGCTTAATTTCAGACCAAAATAATAATCTAAGAATAAGAATTATGCCTTAGTCACCTTTATATTCTCAGCAGCTGCCATAGCACCTAACAGATTATATTACAGTTACTGGGGCTCATGTACATTTAAAATCTATTCATGAGTATTTTATGATATTGAGTAAGACATTAATAAATTCAATAATTTATTTAACAAATATTTGAGCAACTACCACAAACTAGGCATTGAGTTGCTAAAATAGCTATAACCAACATATATAGAACCTGTAATTCTAGTTGTTGTGAAGTGCTGTCGAGTCAGTTCTGACTCACAGCAACCCTGAATGGGGCTTCAAAGGAGCAGCTGGCAGGTTTGAACTCCCGACCTTGTAGTTCAAACTGACCTTGGGATCCAGTGTATTATCCTGCAACGCCAATAGGGTATACGAAAAACAAATAATTGAATTAGCAAAAGATTTAAATACTATGATAAATGTTAAGAAAAAAATAAAGTAGAGATGAAGCTGACTTTAGTTGTACTAAAAAGTGGCTCTTTATGAAGGAGTGACATGTAACCAGAGACTTATATAATTATGCATGTTTAAAACTGGGGAAGTGAGGACAGAAAGAAAATTTTCTAAAAATCTCCAAGGTATGAACAGAATGAACTAAGCCTTACAGCTTTGTAGAGTTGAAACCTATCTTTGAAAGTTTTCAATAGGATCCCTACTCGATAACGGAGACAATTCAAAGCTGCAAAAATCATACCATTCGTCTATAAAAGAAAAATGGTTGATTCCAAGGCTAGGACCAGAAAAATACTTGTTGTCAAGTGCCATCGAGTTGGAACCGACCCAGAGCGACCCCATGCACAGCAGAACAAAACAATGTCCAATCCTGGGCCAACCTCACTACTGCTGCCACACTTGAGTCCACCAATGCTGCCACCTGGCCAATCCATCTCGTTGGGAGTCTTCCTCTTTTTCTCTGACCCTCCACCTTACCAAACATATCCTTCTCCAGCAATTGGTCCCTCCTGACAATACGTCCAAAGTGTGAGAGACGAAATTTGGCCATCTTTGCCTCCAAGGAGCACTCTGCCTGCTCTTCTTCCAAAACAGATCTATTGGTTCTTTTGGCAGCTCATGGCGCTTTCAATATTCTCCTCTAACACCATAACTTAAAAGCATTAATTCTTCTACAGTCTTCCTTATTTGCTGTCCAGCTTTCGCATGCATATGAGGTTATTGAAAATACCATGGCTTGGGTCAGGTGCACCTTAATCTTCAAGCTGACATCTTTGCTCTTCAACACTTTAAAAAGGTCTTGTGCAGCAGATGTGCCTAAAGCAATACATCGTCTGATCTCTTGACTGCTGCTTCCGCGAGTGTTGACAGTTGATCCAAGAAGAATGAAGTCCTTGACAACTTCAATCTTTTCTCTGTTGATAAGAATGTTGTTTATTGGTCCAGTGGTGAAGATTTTTGTTTTCTTGACATTGAGATGTAATCCATACCAAAGGCTGTGCTCTTTGATTTTCATAAGTAAATGTTTTAAGTCCTCTTCACTTTCAGCAAGCAAGGTGATACAAAGAGGAAAGAAGTGCTCGAAAAATAAGTTAATGCAAGTCTAAAGGACACAGGAGCCATCTTGAATAAGAAAATAAAAGTATTGGATTGTGGCACAAAGAATAAAGTAAATACCCATGAGTCCATACTGATAATAAGTAATTGAACTAATAAATAACACTGGGAGGAAAAACAGCAATTCATTAAAGAAGAATTCTACTTAAACAAATGTAAAAGATATGAAGGCAATAGGAAGCAACAATTAGGCAACACAACAGAAATAATTGCTGCAAGGAAGACCCACCACTGGATGCTAAAATTGGTAAGCAAAATGTGATGAGAAACAGGTACTTAAATGGTGTCAAAATACCTCACCATAAGACACTCATTAATTACAAAAGAAAAACAGTAATTTTACAGTGAAAACAAACCAAGATTGAGGAGCTATTACAGATTGAAGGAGACTACAAGATGTGATAACTATGGAAGCAATGTAGTTGCTAGAGGCATACCTCATTTTACTTCACAAATATTTTGGTTTTTACAAATTAAAGGTTTGTGACAACCCTGCATCAAGCAAGTCCACCGGCACCATTTTTTTCAACAAAATGTGCTCATCTATGTGTTACATTTTAGTAATTCTCACATTTCAATTTTTTTTATTTACACTTTCAAACACAAAAAAAAGCAAACCCACAGCCATAAAGTTGATCTGATTCACACTGACCCTATATAGGGTTTCTGAGGCTAAAAATTGTTTTAGAAGCAGAAAGCCTCACCTTTCTCTTAGGAAGCTACAGATAGAATTGAACTGCCAATCTTACAATTAGCAGTAAAATGCTTAACCCAAAGTGCCACCAGGCCTCCTTTTAGAGGCTACACTATAATGTAAACATTACTTTTATATGCACTGACAAACAAACAAAAATTATGTGACTCATTTTATTGTCATATTTGCTTTACTGTGCTAGTTAGGAATTAAACCCTCAATATTTCTAAGATATGCCTATAGTAGAAGTCCTGGTAGTACAGTGGGATAAGCACTGGAACCCACCAACCTCTCAATAGAAAGATGTAGCAGTCTGCTTCCATAAAGATTTACAGCCCCAGAAATGTTATGAAATAGTTCTACTCTGTCTTACAGTCTTGCTATGAGTCTAAACTGACTTGACAGAAGTGAATGCCGATAGTATTATATTAACATTAATTTCCTGGTTTGTTCATTTTACTCTGGTTATATAATACGTTCAACCACCATTCTGTAAATTTATCCTACTGAGGTGGTATGTATGTTCATATGGTATTAGAAATGATGCTACTGGTATTTCCAATATCAGCAGGGTCACTCATGGTGGACAGATTCCAGACTAAAACAGACCAAGAAAAAAGGCCTGGCAATCAATCTGCTTACAAAAATTAGCCAATGAAAACCCTATGGATGATACAGAATGTTGTCTGATACAGTGCTCACAGAGGAAGCCCCTAGGCTGAAGGCACAGTGGCCACAACAATGGCCTCAAGCACACCTCCCACTGTGATGATGGCATGAACCCGACCACATCCTGTTTTGTTATATGTAGAGTCACCATGAACCAGTGTCAATTTAAAGGCAACAAACAGCAAACCTGTTAACTAACTGTGGATAAGTGCACTTGATGCATATGCAGCCTTTCACTGTGTGCTGTGACCCATAAATGATACTTGTGTTTAGAACTGGATGTGACAGTCTGGCTTCTTAAATCAGAGAAGAGTGGAGCTGACTGCCACTCCCAAGATGTCTTGACCCAAAACACATCTTATTGTCACTGGTATTATATGTTAACAGTAGGGAAACTGGGTTAAGGGTATCCTGAGATTTTCAATCTTTGCAAATTTTCAGAAAGGTTAAAATTAATTCAAAATAAAAATTTTAAATGATATTGTTTGGACTCAGAACCAACAAGAACACACAACAATCTGGAATTACCATATATGACAACAACATCTAGAACTCAATCCAGATATTGTTGTTGTTGTTAAGTGCCTTTAAGTCAGTTCTGACTCATGGCAACCCTGTATAGGGTTGATAAGGAAATGCTGGTGAGTTTGAACTACCAATCCTGCAATTCAAGCCAATCTTGTGGTTTAGTGCATTATCATGCAGCACTACACTAGGATTCCTCAATCCAGATATTCTTGTTTTTGTTGTTGCTAACTGCCATCAAGTCAATTCCAACTCATAGCAACCCTGTATGGGATTTCTGAGGAGCAGATGGTGAGTTTGAACTGCCGAACTTGTAGTTCGCAGTCCAGTGCTGATCCACAGTGTCACACCAGAAGTCCACATATAAACATATTTAAGATTAAAAAAAGCAAAACTATAGGATTGAAAATAGGAAACCAAAGATTTATAATGAACTCAGTTACAAAGCAAAAACAGGGAAAAGTGTAGATATAGAATTTTCAAATAGCAATAAAGTCAAGTCGATTTCAAGATAAGACAGACTGTTTTAAGCAGGGAAAAAAATTAATAAATTACAGAATAACCTGTAATTTACCCTGAAAATTAATATACCTGCACATTAAAATAAAAAAGAGGAAAATCAGAATGATTTAGTAAACAATAACACAATAGAAATGAAAATAACAAGAAAATCCACAGACAAAATGAACTCAGCACAGAAAATAATGTGGAACAAACTAGTAGCACCACAAAAAAACACACAGCAAAATGACAGCAATCAATTCATACCTATTGATAATTACACTGAATGTAAATGGTTTAAATGCACCATTCGAGAGACAGAGAGAGCAGAATGGATAAGAAAGCAGGATCTTTCAATATTCACTCTACAAAGCACACACCAATAAATGAAGACAGCCAAAACGTCCATCAACAGAAGAAATGCTAAGCAAAAAATTCAATGCAATATTATGTAATGTTGAGGAATAATTATGCATCTGCAAAACACCCAAAATATGAATAAACTTGAAGACAGTATGCTGAGTCAAATTAGTCAATCACAAAAAGACAAATATTATAACATTTATAATGCTGTAAAAAGTTAACAAAAGATTTCCTTAATAATCTTTGATGGTTATGGGAAGGTAGAGTGGGAATTAGAGGGTAGACACTTGTTAACATGGGCAGACAATATACAACCAGGAGATTAGCAGAGAAAATTTGAAGGTAGTGGGAGACACAGGGAAAAATACAATGAATAGAGGTAAATACTGTTAATTGATTGATAGTCCATGGAGGAGGTTGTAATCACTGTAATGAATCAAATAATATGATTTATTGAATGTGAAACTGATCAACTGCTCTGTAAACTAACTCAATTCACAATAAAAAGATTTTTAAAAATAATTAATAAATAAAAGCATGGAAACAACAATTTAAAAAATATTCTTGATTTTTTTAAACCTCCATATTTTTAACAAGCAGCTTTAGGTGATTCTTACACACACTTAAGTCTAAAGACTAATAATTTAGAGAAACTTCTATAACTAAAGAAAAAAAGCTAGACTTGTTATAAGATATGCTGTAGTCCTAAAGTAAAACTGTATTAATTCTAGAATGGAAAACTAATTGGCCTTATATAACAATTCTTATTTTCTTAAGTTTTCATAAATGGAAATACATTTACTTACCTTTACATCACTACCTGGAGTGGCACTGAGAGCCAAGATTCTAAAGTGTCTTGTATATTTGACCAGTTCCCTTACAACCTTAAAAAAAACAAAAAAATGTTTTTAAAATTTTATTTCTTAAGAGCAACTATAATGGTGGGTCTGTTAAACTCATTACATACAGTCCATTATCATTACTACTTACTCAGCGATCTAGTGAGTGAAACTATAACTCTCATATTTTCTGAAGATGAGATAATTTATGTTTATATTCCTCATCTATTAAACAAAAACATTTTAGGGGTTTATCTATATATAAAGCTACAAGGTAAAGACCTAATCACTGCTATTAAGTGCTGTTGAGTCAGTTACAGATGTCAAATAAAAATACACAAGGGCTACACTACAGCAAGAGTGTTTTGGTCAGTCTAGCTTTGAAAGAAACATCCATATGCAAACATGCCAGATTAAGACAAATTATAATAAGTAAAGATTGAAAAACAAAGTAGTAAGATGAAATTAATTTGCAATGAAAAAAATCAAATTTCACAAAGATTTAAAGAAATTAGATGTTATGAAGAAGAATCATGACTTTCAAAGTAAGTCTGGGAGAACAAACAAGATGGCAGATCTTGGGTAGAAGTGCAGTGAAGAGCTCCATCAACAACAACATGGAATACCGGACCAAGCAGGCTCAGGGGAGGTACCAGAACTCTGAACCACATATAAAGGAATATTTAGAAGACTGGAAGGCTTACAGCTAGGGGAATTTGCAGCAGAAGCAAGAAATCTATTGCTTTCTAATGACAAGATGCTCAGCTGCTCCCTGAGCTGCCACCTTGGGCGAGACCAAATGGGGGAAGGATCGGAACAGCCAAGGATGCCTGACAGAATCGCAGAGATGAAAGTGTGGACATTCTCTTTTGTGTGTGTGTGTGTGTTCCCTGGTCTCTCACTATGGGTGCACCTCGATTCTGGTGACTACAGGGGGTGCCTAAGCAAGTGGACACCCCACCCCACCCGGTTCTATTACGCATGCACACATATCTCTTCAAAATTTAAAGGTACAGTTACCACTTAAAACCAAATGGCAGTACAAAATGGCCACAGCTGGCCCTGAACTGTTTATCACTAGGAAAAAGGCCAGAATGGGGGTTGTGGAGTCGGACAGGCAGACTAAAAAGGAAAAAGGTGAAAATTAACTCCTGAGTTACCTCATAAAGACTAACAATGGAATCTTGAAATTTCTCAGGAAGAAGAGTGAAAAAGAAACACCATCTCCTGATCACATCTACCTGGAGGCAGTAAGAAAGCATAAAAAAACACCAAAACACACACCCATTTAAGTATTAAGGCCACAGGTAACTGAATATTCAAAAAAAAAACAGAAACAGATGACCATATCAGCACATGTCCAAAAAGAAAATAAAAGTTAACTGAGATAAAATGATCTGGAGGTAGACCTACACTCCACACTGGAAGGAGGGCAGGCCTTGGAAATGCCTGAAAAGGAATTCAGAAAAATGATTATAAAATGTATCAAAACACGAAACAATGGAATTGACAAAAATAAGGAAGAAGTCAGGAAACCGGTACAAGAACAATCAAATAAGACAGATACAGCATTGGAAACAATTCAAAACCTACAGAGAGTGGCCCAAATGATTAATAACAGAATATCAGAAATAGATAATACAATAAAAGGAGTAGAACTGAAAAGATGGAAGCCAGAACTAATGAGCTGAGATAAACCTCTCAATACTACTAAGATAGAAGAACAAGCAGAAAAAAAGATAAAGAAATCTGAAGAAGGTCTAAGATTCATGTTGGACAACATGAAGAGGACTAATTTAAGAATTATCGGCATTCCAGAATAGGAAGAATCACATAGACCCACAGAGGAGGTAGCTGAAGAGCTTCTGGAAGAAAATTTCCCTAACATCCTGAAAAGTGAAAAGATAAGCATTCAAGAACTCAACGAACCCCAGGAAGGATACACCCTAAAAGAAAATCACCAAGACATATAATAATCAAGCTCTCCAAAATCAAAGGTAAGGGCAGAATCCTGAAAGCAGCTAGGGAACAGAGAAGTATAACATACAAAGGCAAGTAAATCAGATTAAGCTCGGATCTCTCAACAGAAACCATGCAGGCAAGAAGGCAATGGGGAGACATAAAACCTGCCAGCCAAGAATCCTCTACCCAGCAAAGTTGTCAATCAAATACGAAGGTGTAATGAAAACATTACAGGATAAACAGAAGCTAAGGGATTTTGCCAAAGTCAACACTGAGATGAGAAATATCCTAAAGGGAGTTCTGTGGAATGAGAACCATAAAGAACAGACAACAAGCAGAGATTGACGTACGTGGCAGCAACACTCAGGATGCAACTGACAACTGGAAGAGTCAAGAATCGAATAAAACTATAACAAATTTAGAGGATCTAGGTGATCAGTATATGATCAAAACAATTACAATGTGAAAAAAGGTAAACACAGAGGAACAGAGATCCAAGTGGTGAGAAGGTCAAGTAGATTACAGGATAAAATGGTAGTGGTGGTTAAGTGCCGAGGAGTCGGTTCCGACTCATAGCAACCCTGTATAGGGTTTCCAAGGCTGTAAATCTTTACAGGAGCAGAAAGCCTCATCTTTCTCCTGTGGAACAGCTGGTAGTTTCAAACCACTGACCTTGCGGTTCACAGCCTGATTTATAACCACCACGCTACCAGAGCTCCTTACAGGATAAAATAGAAAAAAAAATAGTTTTTCCACCTCCTCATCCTTCTTGAATTGCTCTCCCCAACACCTGAACTAAACCACCACCCCCCAACCCACTGTTGCGGTTACCTTATATTCCATTAACTCTTCCCTCCATTTAGGATAGTCTCTTTTACAGGATAAAATAAAAGAAGCTCAAAATAACAGTGAAGCTAGGAAGGACAAGCAGACCAGCCTGGGATAGCTAGAGGAACAGAAGATACATCTTCACAGAAAGATTATCACGAAAAATCCAAAACAAAAATGTCAATCAGCATGACTGGCTACTACAAGAAAAGCAAGCTGTTCACTAGGAAGACATCAAGACAAGCAATCAAGTTCATTTAGGACAAGCTTCCCTCTAAGACTGAAACTCAAAGAGAATACACAAACATGCATGAAAGCTTGCTGGCGACCACATTGGTTTACTGGTGAGTGGAAGAGAAGGAAAGGCAACAATGAAGAAATGGGCTGAGTTCAACCACAGTCCATTGACCTGTTGACCCAGAGATGAGAGAGAGAAAAGGAAGGACTGGTTGGTCCAAGGTGTAGTGAGACCTCGGGACACTTGAGCACATGGACAAGGACATAGACACAGCAGGCTAGAGCTGAGAGTGAAGCATCCTACTGATATGAAGTGAGGGGAGATGTACAAGAACACCCAAACTTGTAGACAGTACCCATTCGACCTAGCCTTGATGGCTTGATAATCAGAACTCGACTAGAGGAAGATTACAAAATAATAATAATAATTTTTGATACAGGAAACAAGGGTAAATTGCTACAACTTTATGAACTTGACCTATACTCATGCAGGTGTTGATATTGTTAAGTGCCGTCAAGTCGGTTCCAACCCACAGTGACCCTGAACAGGGTTTCCAAAGCTGTAAACCTGTATTGGAGAAGAAAGCCTCATCTTTCTCCCATGGAGCAGCTGGTAGTTTCGAACTGCTGACCTTGTGGTTGGCAGCTCGATTCATAACCACTACACTACCAGAGCTAGGTTGTTGTTGTCAGGTGCCATCGAGTTGGAACCAATTCATAGCGACCCCATGCACAGCAAAACAAAACAATGTCCGATCCTGGGCCAACCTCACTACC